GGATCAACTGCAACAACATCGGTAAAATCGCAAACAAGTTGACGATCTGCCCAGATTCACAACGAAGCAAAAGTAGAGCTTGATTGACTCAAGCTAGGGTGCTCCATAATTGCAAACAAAGACATGGACGGATAGAGCATAACATGATTAACAAAACTCCTTTACTGATCATCCTCAAAAGAGGCATGGATCACTAGGAAATAGCATGAACATATGGCATCATGAACTAAATAATCCCAGACTTAGTGAAAACTACTAAGTCCCTGAAAACAGGTTTACCGGGTGCCTCACTTTGCAAGCTTGCACAAGTCACCACACACATCCTAAAAATGCATGGGTTGCACCTCTGGATAGATGACAAAATCCTTAACAAAACATATGAAGGACTCACAGGCATATCATGCACACAATAATCATGGCAAAAATGACAAAAGTCTAAGCTGAACTAGCAGATCTGACAATTAACTCACGAAGCCTCCTTCTAACAGCATTTCGGGTATCAAGATGAACTCAAATGAAAATGATGCAATGGAATGAAATGATGTACTCTCTGAAATGAACATTTGATATGCTACACGCCCAAATCGAAACTACGGATGCAAAGTTACGGAGCCGCGAACATGAGCATGTGAAGTAAAAATTCTGGGACTTAGTAAAAAAAACTACCCCGGATCAGATCTAGGGTTCCGGGAACGCAACCCGAGGCGCGGCCGGATCTGCACTGTAGCTCCTCGCCGAAAATGGCGCCTTGGCCGGAGGAAGACGGGCGGCCGCCGGAGGGAGGCCGCGGCCGGGGCGGATCCGGGCGACGGAGAGGCCGGCGCGGCCGGTGGCGGCGATGGCGGCGACCGGGCGGCGGGTGGCAACGGCGGGCGGCGCGGCGAGCTACGGCGGGCGGCGCGGCGAGCTACAGCGGGCGGCGCGAAGCGGCAGCAGCGGGGCGGCAGTGTGCCGGCAGGCAGGCGGCTCGAGCGCCCAGGCGGCGGCGCGGGGGAGCAGGCGCGGGGAGGCGGGAGCCTCGGGCGGCGGCGGCGACCGGGCTCGCGCGGGCCGGATCTGGGCCCCGCGGGCCACGCGGAGAGAGAGAGCTGCCAGGTGAGGTGGCGGGCGCCTATTGGCTTGGAGCGGCGGCAGGGATGACGTGGTGAGACGCCACTGGCCGGAGCGAGGTGGAGGGCGGACGTGTCCGTCGGTGGAAGAAACGTCCGGGCGCGAGGTGGAAGAGGACTAGGGTTTGTACCGCGAATGTTTCGGAAGGGATCACATATATATAGGTAGAGGGAGCTAGGAGAGTCCAAATGAGGTGCGGTTTTCGGCCACGCGATCGTGATCGAACGCTCTAGGACATGGAGCAGAGTTTGGTGGGTTTTGGCCAAATTGGAGGGGTGTTGGGCTGCAACACACACGAGGCCTTTTCGGTCCCTCGGTTAACCGTTGGAGTATCAAACGAAGTCCAAATGGTACGAAACTTGACAGGCGGTCTATTGGTAGTAAACCAAGGCCGCTTGGCAAGTCTCGGTCCAATCCGGAAATGTTTAATCCCCACACACGAAAGAAAGCTAGAAATGACCACCGTAGGAGAATGAAGCGCCGGAATGCAAAACGGACAACGGGGAAAATGCTCGAATGCATGAGACGAACATGTATGCAAATGCAATGCACATGATGACGTGATATGAGATACATGACAACGACAACAAAACACGAAGACAAAGACCCGAACCCGAGAAATAAATATAACTTAACGCCGGAAATAGCAAGAATTGGAGTACAAATTGGGAAAGTTACATCCGGGGTGTTACAAATCATGCCCTTCTGGCGCCTTATACGGCGATGATGTCCGTAAACCTCTTTTTGATACTGGAGATTTAAAGGCCCCTGGCCCTTGACGGGCTTCATGCTATTTTTTACAAAATATTTTGGCCTATGCTTGGGGATGATCTTGTTCAAGAAGTTTTGCAAGCGGTGAATATGTGATACTGCGATAGTGATGACCCTGAAGGTAACTCACCGAATAAGGTAACTCTGTTTAGACCAATTAGCCTTTGTAATGTTGTGTACAAGGTTATTTTCAAAATGGTGGCCGTTCGCTTGAAGGTTTTTCTTCCAGAAATCATCGGCCGACACAGAATGCTTTTGTGCCTGGAAGAATGATTACTGATAATATTTTAGTGGCCTATGAATGTTTTCACAAAATAAAAAATAAAAGGGATGGAAAGGAAGGATCTATGCTATCAAACTAGATATGCATAAAGCTTATGACTGGGTTGAGTGGGTTTTCCGTTGGTATTAGGCTTCCAAGAGAGTTTGGTCAATTTTATTATGCAGTGTGTTTCCACTGTTGAATACCGGGTTAGGTTTAATACGGAAGAAACTGAGAGTTTTAAGCCATCCAAAGGTTTACGACAAGAAGAACCCATTATCTCCCTATTTATTTTTGCTATGTACTAAGGGGGTGACCGCTCTTTTGTCACATGCGGAGGAGAATGGAAAAATTGAAGGCGTCAAGGTATGTAGGGAGGCTCCATCTATTACGAACCTTCTTTTTGCGGATGACTCATTTATCCTGATGAAGGCAAATGTTCAGAATCCCGAAGCTTTGAAAGTTATTTTGGATTCATATTGTACAACATCTGGGAAGTTGGTCAGTGTTGATATCAAGCATATTTCTCAGTCCCAATACGAAAGTGGAGATTAGGGAGCAACTTTACACCACTCTTAATATTATGACTGAAGCTCTGAACAATAAATATTTGGGGTTACCAGCTAATGTGGGTATGGACAACTCTGACTGTTTTCAGTATTTGATTGACCGTATTGTCATGAAGATAAATGGATGGAAAGAACAACTTTTATCCGCCGGAGGGAAGGAAATCCTCCTGAAATCTGTTGTACAAGCTATCCCCACCTATGCGATGTCCGTCTTTAAAATTCCCAAAAAAATATGCAAGGGAATCACGATGCGATGTCTCATTTTTTGTGGGGGATGAGGACAATCAAAAACGGATACATTGGATGACTTGGTGAAAAATGTGTGTACCCAAAAAATCAAGGGGAGTGGCGTATTCTTGAGAATCCAAAATCCTTATGTGCGATCGTAGTGGGAGCTAAATATTTTCCAAACGGTGATTTATTGGATACAAAACTGAAGAAGGATCCTCTTTTACTTCGCAAAGTATTATGGCAGGGTTAATTGTCTAAATCACGATTATATTTGGCGTATTGGAAATGGTCATAATATTGATATTTGGAAAGATGCTTGAATCCCAAACTGTGCAAATAGAAAAGCCTAGAGGGAGTAACTTGATCTCAAAGGTATCTAATTTAATTAATCCAGTTACTAGTAATTGGGACGAAAATCTGATCTTGCAATTCCTTTGCCCCAACATGACATGTTGGACTTTGTCGCTTGAAGCTATTCAAAGAATGGAATGTTTTCTGTTCGATCAGCCTATGTAGTGCAATGGGAACACCAACACGGGGAAAAACTGAGAAGAATCGGTGAGATGGGACATATGACTATTAATCCTATTTGGAGCGGGATTTGGAAGTTATCTTGTCCTTCAAACGTAAATTTTTTTCATTTGGCGAACGCTGCATGGCACCCTCCAGTGTAGAGTTACTTTAGCAAATAAACACATAAAAGTTACCCCAGTTCCTACTTGTTCCTTTGGATCAGAAGATACAGATCATATGTTATTTCAATGTGAGAAAGCAAAGGAGGTGTCTGAGAGTGTTGGGACTGGATCAAGTCATTAAAAGAGCATGCCACCCTCCCGTGTAGAGTTACTTTAGCAAATAGACACATAAAAGTTACCCCCAGTTCCTGCTTGTCCCTTTGGATCAGAAGATACAAAGCATATGTTATTTCAATGTGAGAAAGCAAAGGAGGTTTGGAGAGTGCTGGGACTGGATCAGGTCATTAAAAGAGCATGCGATCATTAAAAGAGCATGCGAGGTTGATTATGCTGGTGAGGCGGTTCTTGCATTTTTTTTTCTTTCTTTCTATGCATGAACAGGAGCTCTCTATCTTGGGTATTTCGAATGTTCGTGAGATGATTGTGATTACAACTTGGTACTTATGGTGGGAGAGGCAAAAATCGGTCCATAAAGAGAAAACCCAAGATGCTAACTAGATCTCTATGGAGATTTGTGCTATTACGTAAACTATGTTTTCTTTCTTTCTATGCATGAACAGGAGCTCTCTATCTTGGGTATTTCGAATGTTCGTGAGATGATTGTGATTACAACTTGGTACTTATGGTGGGAGAGGCAAAAATCGGTCCATAAAGAGAAAACCCAAGATGCTAACTAGATCTCTATGGAGATTTGTGCTATTACGTAAACTATGTGGCTACATACCAAAGGCTACTATAAAAAGAGTGTTGGATCCAACCTCAAGAGGGTTGGTAAAACTTAATGTGGATGCCTCTTTTGATCATGACCTGCTTAGGTGGGTATTGTGTTGAGGGATGATAAAGGGAAATTCATCATAGGGATGGATTGAAGAATTGATTGGTGCACAGATGTCACTGAAGCTTTGGCGCTTAGATAACTCAGATAACTTGGAGGCCATCGAAACCATGAATAATAGAGGACGGTTGGCAAGTATAGCGGCAGCAGTATTTGACGATTGTTATTTTTTGGCTTGTGATTTTGCCATCACTAGATTCGAGCACTATAATAGGGAAGTCAATAGGGTTGCACATGAACTTGCTAAAGTAGCTAAATTTTCTACAACTTTAAACTGGTTTGAGGAGCCTTTGAGCGAAATTGTACCTCTCCTCATAAACGATGTACTTGTTATTACAAATGAATAAAGATCTGTGTTTTTCAAAAAAAAATACATGCGTACCAGTGCTACTATTGCAGAAGGGCAGCAACCTACCAATTGGAACAGATACACCAGACATAGTACCCGAAGCGGAATCAGTCACTTCTATCAAAACTCCTGAACCTGTAACTTGGTTTGTCAAGAAAAGAATGTTCCTGATTGTAGGTCACCACAAATGTCTCTGTCTTGATATCTGCCTTAGGCCTGCTTCCAGGTCTTCCAATGTGATTGTGATCATGGTCTCAGCGTCATTGCAACTGAAATCAAGACGAAGATCCAAGTTTTCACGTGCATTGACAAGCAGTGTGTCTACCAGACCTCCGTTCATCTGTTTAAGCCACTCCTCAGTGGTCTCCCTGGCAATCAGCTCTCCAACGGCACCTCTGGTGCAGCTCCGGTGCAGCCTGAACCCGTAAAGCAAACTTGTGTCAGTCAGGCTATTCATCTTCAGAAGCAATATCTCCGCTAATTCTGTCGTGGTGAAATCATCAAAATCAAAGAACATCGTGACCCTCCTACAGAAACCGTCGTTCGAGGCAATGACACGCTTCATTTGCTCGCAGTACCCAGCAAATATGACAACTACTTTGCCACTGTCCATTACAGACATTATCTCCTCCAGTGCCTCCAAACCATAATCCTTATCATCCGATTTTTGCGTTGGTATCAACCTGTAAGCTTCATCCACAAACAGAATCCCTCCCTCGGCATCTTTTATCTGTAAGAATGCAGGCACAATTACAATGACAACGTATTAAGCAGAGAGAAAACACCACTAAACATTATAACACTATGGAGGGGAAAAGCCTATTATATTTAATTCACATATATAACTCATTTCACTGTTAATTAATATACTGAATGTCCTACGAAAACCAAACATAAGAACTGAATACCTAAGCACCAATATTAGGAGAAATAAATACTTAAACTGCTAAAATCACTAGGAATAGCACAGAACAGAATTGAGCTTTCAATACTAATACTTGCAAATCAGCAATAGAATTTTGTGCACGTCAATGTAGGTACAGCAGGGTGTCAAAACTGAAGAGAAAATATCAATAAAACCTTCCGCCTCGTCTTTGGTCCAGTATGCCCCACAAATTCTCCAACAAGATCAGTTCGCTGAACTTCAGTAACTTTGTCAGTAGGGAGAATCCCAATCATATGTAGGAGCTTTCCAAGAATCCGAGCAACCATTGTTTTACCTGCATTAGAGGTTACAATACTATGCAGTGAGTATTGAATATTGATGGCTATGGTGCCTATATCGAAAAGTAAAAGCAACTGCATATCATGTTTTACCTGCATTAGAGGTTACAATATTATGCACTGAGTATTGAATATTGATGGCTTTGGTGCCTATATCGAAAAGTAAAAGCAACCGCATATCATGTACTCCCTCAGTCCCAAAATAATGACGTGGTTTTACTTCAAATTTGAACTAAAACCACGGTCACTTATTTTGGGACAGAGGCAGTATATAGCCTTGTGTTCCGTATTGGCAAGTGCCAAATGTAACATGGCAGTAAAGGAATGGTCACACTTTTCAGGCCCATGAGCTTTCAAAGCGTGTTTGTCCAAGATTCGGGACAAGTCCTTTTTTAAATTTGCATAGCTATTCTAAATTTGCCCAACCAACCCAATTTATCAAAACATAACATTATCAACAAGGAATTCTTTTCTGGGAACCCATTCTCAAGGATCTCAAAGTACGTGTGCTTGGCTTTGAGCACTTTGAGAATGGGTGACTGCCCGGGAAGTTAATTCCGGGTGCGCACGAGTGAGCACAAAGTGTGCAGGAAAAACTAGTGTTGGTCCGTGGGGACAGTCTAGATCCCAGGTGGTAGCCAGGGGCGTAACACATTATAAGAGCATCTCTAGTAGAATTTTTATCCCTAAAAACTGACAAATCTGTAAAAATTGCACTCTAGCAGATTCCCTATCCCTCTACTTTTTTAAAGTCAACGCGGAAAACACCTTGATCCAAAATATAGGGAAAACACTTCACTGACCCTATCCTATATTTTTCACTCCCATGGCAGGAGAGAGAATTCCCCCAACCAACGGTTACCGCTTGACCCCGCCGCGGCCACACCGCCCCGACGGCCTCGCCAGCGAGGCCATGGGTCCCACCCATGCCCCCGTGGAAACTTTCCATCCACCCCATGCCGAGTCACCGTGGCCCGCACCACCCCATCATGGCTCTCGAGCCGGCAGCGCAGCCAACAAGGAAGCGTGGTGCTTCCCGCCTACGCGGTACTACGCCGAGCTACTGCCACCCTATAGGTTGCAGCCCCCCAGCCTCGTGTCGCACAATGCCGATCTCCCATTTCAGGGGCTTGCGTGCGGCATTGACGCTGCCACTAAGCCTGAAGCGGCCTTCCCCCGATCATGTCCCCGCAGCGCCTCCTACAGCCCCTCAAAGGCCCTCCTTCGCCGACCATTATCACTGGCGAGCTTGGCATGTGCAACGCCTCCGAGGTGTTCGACCGAATGCCCAAAAGGTGAGTATTTATTCCTTTTTTCCTCGATGTTTCGGTATTGTTGCTAATTGATTTTTACATTGCTAGTGCCAATTCTTTCATGAGCATGATGGGCATAGACAACATCGAATTCTCAATGCCAAATTATGAAGTAGAAGAACATGATTATGAAGTACTATGATCATATATTCTGTTCGACATACATGACATCTTGCTATCATAATTGCTCATGACTTGTTCGTTGCCATAGGTGGCTGTCATCGAAGGGATGTACAAGCAAATGTTAAAATCCAAAGGGAAGCCCTTTACCTTTCACCATTATTGGGCATTGCTCAAGAAAAGTCAAAAGTGGGGGAATAGGAATGAAGAAGCTCTACCGAAGAGGGCAAGGTCAAGACACTCTTCTCCCAAGAATGATGGAGGTGGAGATGAAGTTGGTGAGGGAGATGATGACGGGTGAACCATACTTGATGAGGCCCAAGAGAAAGAAGCACGAGAAGAACAGGTTAAAGACAAGCACGAAAGTTGGTGCCTTGGGGGAGAAACTTGATGGGATAGTAAGAACAAGGAGATGGCGGAGGAGATGATGAGATCAAGGAAGGAGGAGGCGGAGGAGATGATGGAAGCAAAAGAAGCTAGCAAGGTGGCAAGAGGTCAAGGGAAACGAGGAGAGAAAGGCAAGAGCCGAGGAGAGGATGCTTGCCATGGCGGACGGACAGGCCGCCACAGAGGAGCGAAGGCTTGCTCTCGAGGAGTGTAGGGTGAAGGTGAAGGCCAACAGAGAAATAAGAAAATATCACGTTCATAGATACCAATGGCATGGATGGGG